CCAGTGAGAAAGTCCATCTCTTGTTGTACTCTTACATCAAAATTCACCAACATATTTGTTTAGATCTGTTTTGGACTGGTTTTGCTTGTAAACTGTACTTGATCTGTGCATATTTCTCTCCTGATTCAGATGAGCACACTATTTCATTCCATCGTTTTACATCTTGTGAGGTGAAAATCTGTGTGTTTGTAAGAAACAAATCCATCAATAAAATGTTTTCACTTCAAATACCAGTCCATAATCCATAATATTGCTTCCTGAAAAGTCCATCACCTACATATTTGTTTAGAGCTGTTTTGGACTGTTTTCACTTCTAAACGGTGCTTGATCTGTGCATATTTCTCTCCTGATTCAGACGAGAGTACTTTTTCACCGGCGATATAGGACTGGTATTTTAGCCAGAAACAACAGTTATATGTATATGTATATGTATATATATATATTACAGTTATAATAGATGTCTTAATGATGGATTTGTTTCTTACAAACACACAAATTTTCACTTCACAAGACATTGATGGACTGGAGTGGTGTGGATTACTTGTGGATTACTGTGATGTTTTCATCAGCTGTTTGGACTCTCATTCTGACGGCACCCATTCACTGACTAAGTGAATTGAGTCACGTGAAGAAGTTTGTAACTGAAAGCTCAGAAAGCTTGTAACGATGTTGTACAATATGTGCTAATGGAATACAAATCTCCTGAACTTTCTAAAATTTTATGTAAATTGAAAGTGGCGCTTGAGCTTCATGTCTGCCAATTCTTTTGACATTGACGTCACATCAGTAAGGGCAATAGAGAAGAATGGAGAAAACTTTCATTCATATTCAAGTCTGTCTGCCAACTCTTAGGCCACTGAAAGCAAGGGATTTCATATTGTATTTGAATAAGTTGAGTGTTAAACGCAGTCTGGTTCGGCAGGCATTTCTGTTTGAATCTATAAGCTTTCAAGAACTGTCTTCACAGCCAAGCTGATTTTCCTGATGTTGTAGGCACATTTATTAAATTGACCTGCCGAAAGCCCTCGAGTCTGATGTGACAGTGTCTGCTCTCATTATCGTCTCCATACACTCTTAAAAATAAAGGTGCATCAAACGGTTCTTCAAGCGATGCCATAGAAGAACCATTTTTGGTTCCACAAAGAACAAAACATGAAATCTGTGCATTTCTGTAACAACATAACACTACAAGATGTAGATGAGTTTGTTTCTTCATCAGAACAGATTTGGAGAAATATAGCATTACATCACTCGCTCACCAGTGGATCCTCTGCAGTGAATGGGTGCCGTCAGAATGAGAGTCTTAACAGCTGATAAAAACATCACAATAATCCACACTATTTCATTCCATCGTTTTACATCTTGTGAGGTGAAAATCTGTGTGTTTGTAAGAAACAAATCCATCAATAAAATGTTTTCACTTCAAATACCAGTCCATAATCCATAATATTGCTTCCTGAAAAGTCCATCACCTACATATTTGTTTAGAGCTGTTTTGGACTGTTTTCACTTCTAAACGGTGCTTGATCTGTGCATATTTCTCTCCTGATTCAGACGAGAGTACTTTTTCACCGGCGATATAGGACTGGTATTTTAGCCAGAAACAACAGTTATATGTATATGTATATGTATATATATATATTACAGTTATAATAGATGTCTTAATGATGGATTTGTTTCTTACAAACACACAAATTTTCACTTCACAAGACATTGATGGACTGGAGTGGTGTGGATTACTTGTGGATTACTGTGATGTTTTCATCAGCTGTTTGGACTCTCATTCTGACGGCACCCATTCACTGACTAAGTGAATTGAGTCACGTGAAGAAGTTTGTAACTGAAAGCTCAGAAAGCTTGTAACGATGTTGTACAATATGTGCTAATGGAATACAAATCTCCTGAACTTTCTAAAATTTTATGTAAATTGAAAGTGGCGCTTGAGCTTCATGTCTGCCAATTCTTTTGACATTGACGTCACATCAGTAAGGGCAATAGAGAAGAATGGAGAAAACTTTCATTCATATTCAAGTCTGTCTGCCAACTCTTAGGCCACTGAAAGCAAGGGATTTCATATTGTATTTGAATAAGTTGAGTGTTAAACGCAGTCTGGTTCGGCAGGCATTTCTGTTTGAATCTATAAGCTTTCAAGAACTGTCTTCACAGCCAAGCTGATTTTCCTGATGGACTGATATGCACAGAATGATTTCATTTAACATTCATAAGCACAGATTGAACTTTAAAATATGAACTGTACTGCTTAATGTATCTGACACTCACAAATAATGGATTCTTGACGCTCCATTAAAGCCCCTCTTCTTACTCGTTCAAGTTTTAACATAAAATTTTACATTTTTATTTGAAAGTACTTAAAGAACTATTTAAAGTGAGACAGCTTTGACACTTTTCAGGGGAATTAGACTACAAATGGTTAACACTTAACTGGTTAACTTTTAATAGTCTCGACATATTTAGCTATAATAACAGTAAGTATTCTAGTGCTACAATACAAACCTTTAAGTGTTGTTCTGAAACACTTGTCACCGTAGAAATCAAGCTTGTGCTGCCCTCTGTAGAGGAAACTCACGTCGATGAGGTACTGTCTTCAAGCGGCCCAAAGCTTTACAAATATACTTTTCATATTAGCCCAAAATATCTATTTTTCTATTAAAAGGACTAACTCAATCAAAAGTCCTAAAGGATGCGTACAGATCAGGATAGCTAATGGACCTCAATCATAATTTGAAACCAACAGGATCCTAGTAGCAACAGATAATAGCCTACTTCTAAACATATAAAACTACGCTTTACCTGCTCGACTCCTACGTGATAGCTTTTCCTCAAGAGAGCAAGTCATTATTTGATTCTATAGCAAATTTGAAATCGAGTGCATATGCTTTATGATAAAAGGGAAGGTTTAAGTCCACCAACATGCACAGTATTTGAAGTGTTTTTTGCGTGTCATATCATCTTGTTTCTGTTATGACAGAAACATGTAACTCACAACAAAAGCAGAAAGAGCAGGTGAATTTAGGTCAAGTTACTTCCCACCGCCCGTCCTGTGAGGGCGCTATAGGGCAACTGCACTATTTTAAAAGCAGGCTTTCATGTCACCTGAAGAGCGTCTGTTGTTGTGCCGGAAGGGAAGCGTGTTTTCGGCAGCGCAACGATGGCGAGCGCTACCGCGAAGCAACCCGCGAGAACTGCAAGCAACACAGAATTGTTGACATTTTTGCAGATTTATTAAAAAAGAAAACCTGAAATATCCGACTTTTTCACAATATTAATGCCTTGAATTTAATGTGAGCAGCTACTGGTAGCCAGTGCAAATTGATGAACAGAGGTGTGACGTGTTATTTTCGGCTCATTAAAGATTAATCTTGCAGCAGCATTTTGGATTAATTGTAGAGGTTTGATAGAAGTGGCTGGAAGACCTGCCAAGAGAGCATTGCAATAGTCTAGCCTGGACAGAACAAGAGCTTGAACAAGGAGTTGTGTTGCATGTTCTGAAAGAAAGGACCTGATCTTCCTAATGTTGTATAAAGCAAATCTGCAGGACCGGGCAGTTTTAGCAATGTGGTCTGAGAAATTCAGCTTATCATTAATCACAACTCCAAGGTTTCTAGCTGTTTTTGAAGGAGTTATGGTTGATGAGCCTAGCTGGATGGTGAATTCTGATAAAGTGATGGGTTTGTTGAATCCACAAGCAGTTCTGTCTTAGCCAGGTTGAGTTGAAGGTGATGGTCCGTCATCCAACAAGAAATGTCTGTTAGACATGCTGAGATGCGAGCAGCTATCGTCAGATCATCAGGATGGAATGAGAGGTAGAGTTGAGTGTCATCAGCATAGCAGTGATATGAAAAGCCATGTTTCTGAATGACAGAACCTAGTGATGCCATGTAGACAGAGAAGAGAAGTGGTCCAAGTACTGAGCCCTGAGGCACCCCAGTAGCTAGATGTTGCGACTTGGACACCTCACCTCTCCAAGATACCTTGAAGGACCTATCTGAGAGGTAAGACTCAAACCACTGGCGTGCGGTTCCTGAGATGCCATTTTCCAATAGGGTTGACAGGAGAATCTGGTGGTTCACCATATCAAAAGCAGCAGACAGATCCAGCAAAATAAGTATAGAATATTTGGAAGCCGCTCTTGCCAGTCTTAGGGCTTCAACAACTGAAAGCAAGGCAGTCTCGGTCGAATGTCCACTTCTGAAGCCAGATTGGTTTTACCGCTCCAAAAGCGGCATCTAGTGGCAAAGAATGAATTAGCATTTTCATTCAGACCAACAAGTGGGTGACAATATGCTAATGTTTCATGTTGAGGTCAACATGGGATTCCTTTTAAAAACGACTCGTTTCAATGATTCATAGTCGACTCTTTCTTTTGAGAGACAATAACTTTATACACGGTGCACTTTGCAAGATGTTTTCATTCACTTAGAGCTGTTACACACTACAAAGACTGCATGAAAGGTAATTTGCAAAAATCCATAATTGGGGCGCTTTCATATTACTAAATAATAATGGTAAAAATCAACAGTTGGTGTTCAGATTTTTTTTTTTACTCATGTACACTTTTGTTCAAAATGTTGGGCTCAGTAAAATTTCTATTTGAAAGAAAATAATATTCGTATTGAATGTGTATTTGCTATTGTATTCATTAAAGACACATTCAATAGATCAGTAGTGACTAGTGAGAGTAAAGACGTATAAAAACAAAACGTTTCATTTGTCAAGGAATCCTGAAAAAAACAGCATACTAGAATGATTTCTGAAAGGTCATGTGACACTGAAGACTGGAGTAATGATGCTGAAAATTCAGCTTTGATCACAGGAAGAAATTATATTTTAAAATATATTCAAATAGAAAACAGTTCTTTTAAAATGACATTTCTCAATTTTATGGTTTTAATTGTATTTTTGATCAAATACTTGGAGTCTCTTGAGCATAAGTGACTTCTTTCAAACCCCAAAGTTTTGAACAGTAGTATAGATCCCTGATGTATTATTTCTGCCTACAGAGGAAGCTGGCTGAGGTCACAGAAGATGAATGGTTGAGTATTCCTGAGGTTGGTGATGCCAGGAACAAGCGTCAGAGGAATCCCCGCCATGAGAAGCTCACACCCGTGCCGGACAGCTTCTTTGCCAAGCACCTCCAGACTGGAGAAAAAAACACTTCTGTTGACCCACTGCAAGGGGTGAGTAATGGCCCATCACCTTTCACAGGTGCATCATTAACTATAAAGAAAATATGAATATAATCAGAGCACAATGCATTGCATTAGAGGATCCATTGCACTTGAAGATTTCATTGCAAAATATGAAACGATGCAATTTCTAATTGAGCTGTTTCCATTTTCAGCAATTTGGCGGGCTAGCGACATCCTTCCCAGGAGGCTTGAACACACCCTACCCAGGAGGCATGACTCCTGAAGCTGGAGAGCTGGACATGAGGAAGATCGGACAGGCCAGAAACACTCTGATGGACATGAGGCTCAGTCAGGTGATGCACCACAGCATTTTAACTGCAAACTGAATTATGTTGAAGAAAGCCAGAAGTTTTCAAAGTGTCTTTGTTGGTGTCTCCAGGTCTCTGACTCTGTGAGTGGACAGACAGTTGTTGATCCTAAAGGCTATCTCACCGATCTCAACTCCATGATCCCCACACATGGAGGAGACATCAGGTACTGAGTGTTTTACCCTCATGAGCTTTATATCTGGGCTGTCTGTGTTGCATTTTCTAATGTGATTCTGTGTGTGCGCAGTGATATTAAGAAGGCCCGTCTCCTCTTGAAGTCAGTGAGAGAAACAAACCCTCATCACCCGCCTGCGTGGATCGCTTCTGCCCGTCTGGAGGAGGTGACCGGGAAGCTGCAGGTGGCCAGAAACCTGATCATGAAAGGCACTGAGATGTGTCCCAAGGTGAGGCATAAATGGAGGAGGAAATGTACAACTAAATTAAGCCCCTGATATACTTAATGCAAAGTTGTTGTTTTTTTCATTCTTCGTTTAGAGGTAAAAGGACGTTTGAATTATCTTAGCAACGGTTCGCTGTTTGTGAACATCCCTACACCACACACTCCGTTGAGAGCGGATATGTAAATGTGTTGTGCGCTTTCCTCTCAATAACAAAAAAAAAACACAACAAAAATAACAGCCGTTAAGAAAGCATCTGATCGTAGTAGCTATGTTTCCATCCACCTATTTTTATGCACAGTTTGGAATATTGCATGAAAAACCACTGGATGGAAACACCAAGATGCGCATAAATTCTAACAATGCGCTTAAAAAAGTAATGCATGACGTCTGAAATGCCTGAGCAAAGTATTTTTTTGTCATCAAAGTATTTGTGTAATTGTCCCAAACAGTAGCAATCACCTTCGAAAGCAATGACCGCATTCATTTTGTTTCATCTGCTCTCTCTGAGGCGCAAATTATTATATTAAGTGGCTTCTCCTACTTTTCTTGGTGATACTTAATGCCAGTTTATCAGGATTTTGTTCTCTTTGATTCGTTGGATGGAAATGGTGCTTTATTTGCAAATGTTTTATGCGATATTACATTTATGCGCGCAAGTTAAATTCGGATCGTTCGATAGAAACATAGCTAGTGATGTGGACATGTTTGCACCAGCTCTGCAATTCAGCACATTTATAGCAAGCAGCTTTACAGTATTAAACTTGGGGGGGAGAGTCTCAGTGTCACTTTCAGTTAAATTTACAACTTCAGTTTGTACTATAAAGCCGCTTGTCAGTGTGTGCTTGCTTGTTCTGGCGTCTGACCTTGATGAACTGAGCAGAAGAAATGTACCAGAGAAGATTTGCATGTCAAAGGCGGAGCCCCAGAGACACACCTACCTATTACATCATCGTCGCAGACCAATGGGAGTTCGAAGGTGTTTACTAGCCAGTGCAAAGTTTTCTAGAAAGTTCATTTTGGCCTGAAATGCATTCCAAGCAAACTTAGTTTTTGCATGATTATGTTTGAAACGACATCACACCAGTAATCTCTTTTATTTCGCTCAAAGTAGGTGCAAGAAACCTTGATGAACATTATAAATGGGACTCTGACAGTAAAATGGTTTAAAACTTAGGATGTGACCCCCTTAAAGTCTTTATTTTTTTTCTGTGGGACATTTAATTTAAAGATGTTTTGAGAAGGGTTGGTTAGCAAATTGTTTAACAGTTGACTTCTATTTTGACAAATAAATAGACATTCCTCATCTCTATTTCATAGAGGATAGAAGGCCATGCAGGTTTGGAATAACATAAGGGTGTGAAAATGATGACAGAATTTTAGGTTTTGGTTGAATTGTCCCTGTAAAGTAAAAAGAAAGTGCTTTACTGTATGTCCAGTAGGGGGCAGCGAGTGTTTGAGCCATTGAAATTTTACAGCTTTAGAAATGTTGCCAGTATTGACAGGTTGCCATAGTGATACATTTACAATCTGCAAAATCCCACTTCCCAAAATAACAACATGCCATGTAAGCTGTGCCAGTCGATTTGTCTACTAGTGCTGACTTTGGACTCGGAGAGAAAGAACTGGGAATGAAAACACGGTGAGCGGAAAACAATGTCAGGCCCTTTTGCTCTCAGTGTGTGTGCACAGCTTCATGAAGTGTTGGGAAATTTCTGCAGGCTCATTAATCAAAGTTGAGCTTCACAGTTCAGCAGCAGAGCAGAGACATGGCTCTGTCTCAAAGCCTAAGAGAGCTGACCACTGACCACAGGATGTTTGGACATGATCAGTACATTCAATCATCACGCCTGTGTGCGTGAAGAACAAAAATGTTGCCTTTGCAGCTGTTTCTATAAATCATTGAGCATTCATTTTTAGTAATTCACCTGCTTATCTTCAGTTACTAATGTTAACTGTGGAGCAGGGCTCCAGACTGTGACTAAAATACATGAAAAAAACAAAAATGTTACAAACTTTAAAATCTAGTCAGCACTCGACAGTCAGTCAGGAATCATTTGCAAGCTGTAATGTCCAATTCATGAAAAAATGAACCGGTTCTTTTTGAGTCAGTCAAAAGATTCACCAAACTGCCTCAACTGACTGGTGATTAGTGTTTTGTATGCATTAGGTTTGTGAGACTTGAATTGATATTAAAATAAATGAATTATTTATTTTAAATTGGTAGCTATTGTTATTAAATTTTAGTTTAGTATTTTATAATAAATATTATTTGCAATTGTTTAACTTATGAGAAAACCATATTTAACATAACAACATATAAGGTCCAAAATATATACACGATTTTCCAAACAGGCAGAAATATTCGTACATGGGGCCCTATGAAATCCATTGCATTTTTTTCCATGTTTAGTTTTTTTTTTCTGTTTTAATTTTTCTAGGTTCCTTTTTATCCCACTTTCAATTTTTCTAGTCTGTTTCAATGGTGAAATAAAATTTGTATTAATCAAATAGCTTGTCTAATTAATTGAAATCATGAAACTTAAACAATTTAACAGCAATTTATTAAAAGTTTGACAAATGAAATTTTCTCAAATTCAGTTTTATTTTTTTTATCAAATAATGTGTTTTCCATAATTTTTCTGGATTCCATTTTAATGGTTTAATTGAATTGTAATAATCAAAAGCATCTCTAATTAATTGATTTTAT